ACTTAAACTAAGTATTCCATTAGTTATTTTATGATTTTTACCAATCTTCAGTTTTTCGTATTTGTAATTAGTGTGATATTCTTACTGGGCTAGTGTAGCTCACTCTTTCATTAATTATTTCATATCAAGATGACCAAGATCCAGATTCCGATTAGTAAAAGAGTTGTGAGTAGTTCATTATCCAAATTTCCTTCAAGTGCTAGTAAAGGTTGTTGTAAAGACCCAGAACTTAAATGAAAACAAGGTCATAAATTAAATACGGAAGCGTATAATAACGTTAAGATTTACATTACTTACACATAAATTAGCATGCCCAATAGAATTACAAAAATGTCCATTTCACCGCGATTCATAAACAAAACGTAATAATGTATGAAAATAGTAAATAAGTGTTATAGGGAGGTTAACCTCCATTAGTTCTTGATAGGATTTGGGAGGACACCTACTCACAGCCCTCATGCTGATCAGAATTTAGATCTTGATCTTTTTGGTATGAAATAGTTAATAAAGAAGGGGATGAACTACACTAGCCAAATAATAATATCACACTACTTATCGATATAGAAACTGAAGGTTGGTAAAAAATCATAAAAACAATCAATATAGCTCTTAATTTAAGTAAATTTATTTATCATAAGTAAAATCATTTATTGCATACTTACCGTTACAAAATTTTCAAAATCGACCTATAGAGATTATAACTCAAATAACATTATACTCTCATATCCAAGTAAGAAAGAACAACAACTTTTTCTTTTTAATTTTGCTTACTAGTATCTATGGGGGTCCATAGGGGTGTCCCACTAAACGTAAACCTAATATCTAAACTTGTCAACTAATTAGCCATCTCGGTATCCCATCCGATATGAGTATAAAAAATATCATCTCTCGATACTCCGTCCAGTATGAGGTAACATTTACGGTAGGCTTTCCTATGTATCTGGTCCATCCTCCATCTCCCAGGATATCCAATAAGATAACTATTTATTAATTCACATAACCAAATTTTTTTTCATTTGCATATTAATTTCAAATTTCACAAATCAACCGTAAATCATATATGCATCAAGGAAGCACAACTGAATCATTTAACCATTCTAATATATTATCATGTATTAAAACTGTAAAATTAAATAATCAGTTAAACATGACAAATAAATAACTAACCAGTTTCGGCTCCATTAGTGACCTGTAATTATTCTTAAAATTTTTTAAATTTCACAAAATACCATATTATTGATTATTAAGCTTCAATTCTATAACATAAAATAAGATAAAAGATTCTTACCCAAATCAGTGTCCGAAGTATCAAACTTTCTACTACATTTATTAGCTATCTCCGAGTTTTCTTAATTTTTATATGGAGATTAAAACACGCTTCATGTATCTAAAAATATCTCAAATATATTTAAAATTGGTATTAAAAATCTTTTTTGGTAAATTTTGGGGTTCCGACACGGTGACACCGTTGTGCTCCGGCGACGGAACGGCCACTCTCCGGCTATGGCACCACTGCTCGTAACGGCGATTTGCCTCGGCTTGACCATTTTTGGCCGACTTCAGTCGCCTTTATACATATCCCTGCGAAACAATACATTAGGGGGCATTGGTTGACCAAAAAAATCAGAAAACGAAAACCTAGTGGTGGTGGGGTTTTCCAAGTGCAGCGACTCCATCGACTCACCTTCACGGCTAGGATTTTTTCTTCAGTCAACTTATAAAAAATAGAATGGTGAACACAACGGTGAAAAATCGTACGAAACGTGAAACGGGAAGGGGCTCATTGGAGGAAGTTGCAGGTTTTGCTCGTGGCGGTGGCGCTTGGTTTTTTCCGTAGTTTCGGCTCACCTGCCGTTTATTTTGCTCCGATATGGCCACAGAGGTGCTCGAAATCGAATTGCGAGCGGGTAGGAGAATTTTTATCTTTTTTTGGCGGTCGGAGGTGGCTCTGGTGCGGTGACGGTCGGCGATCGGCTCCCTTCTCCGGCGACTGGTTCTTCTTCTCCGGCAGGAGGCTGGCGGCTAGGATTCAGATTTAGTGTGATGCAAAATATTTATATCCATCTTGCGTTAATCTGGACCGTTTATCGTATTTGATCTTGACCGTTCGATCGCGCCTAAGGAGGAAACGAATCTTGACTGTTCATCACATTTGATCTCGACTGTTCAATCCTGCCTAAAGGAAAAACGGATCCGGACCGTCCACATGCGCAGGATCACTTCTGGGTCGTCTGATCATGGGGTATGCAAATCGCCAACATGGACTCCCGCGTGGCAACGAGTCAGCGTGCCTTGTCACGCGGCGTGCTCCAATTCGTTGAGGTTGCTGATTAGGTGATCCTACCTGGCCAAATTTTTCTTATTTGTATCCTTACTAATAGTTTCTGATTTTTCTTTCAAAAACACTATCCGAATGTAAATTTTTACATATTTTTCTCAAAATTATTTTCAATTTCATTTTTAACTTATTTTTTTTATAATTTTACATTAAATTAAAATTTATTAATCTCAAAAATAGATTTTTTATATATTTTAGAATATTAAAATTAATTGCAAACCAAATTTCGGACCCGGATATTACAGTTGTTCTAGAATATTTAGTTATTTACTTTTTTGTTTCATTTTTTTAATTTTCGTTTATTTTTTAGAAGGAATATTTTTATAATTTTATTGGACATTTAAAATTATTATGTAAGAAATGTAAACTCTAACTCTATTAATTGTTTCTATATTAAATTTATAAATTTATTTTCTTTCTAATTTCGGATCCATACAATAATTATATATATATATATATCCCAAACTAGAAGTATTTCTCTATAATTAATCTAAATTTTAATCTTATGAGTGCAGTCGGACGTGATCAGCACATTCACCTAAAAAACAAGTTAAATAGCTAAAATCAGAATTAAGAAAATTCCCAAGGTCAAAATCAAAGTAGTACAGGAGTCATATTCATATATATATATATATGTAATTATATTCCAATTGGCAAGTAGATATAATAATTAATTAATTAATTAAATTAAATTAAACTTTTCTTTCCATTTTATTATAAGCTACAAATTATTTAATTTCTATTGGCTTGCTTCGCATTGTTTTCAAAAATTTAACCTGACACGAATCCATTTATATATACAGTATATGTACACATCCTACATACTTTATGAATATCTATTAATTTTTTCAATTGGATTTTCACATGGCCCTTTTTTTCATTTAAGTAATTGGAAGAAGTCCACACGTTAGTTTCAATCCAATTATATATAATCTATTTTGCATAATGAAGCTAGCTACTGCTTCAAGGAAAAGTTCAAAACACACACACACACATACATATGTAGAGATAAACATCTATATATCAACTGTATCTCTTCTTCCTCTGCAAACCAAAACCCTAACACTTTTTCTCTTCTTCTCCTTCTTCTTCTTCTTCTTCTTCTTCTTTGTCATATCATGCCGAGAATCATGAGGGGCAAATCCAAGAAGAGAACTGGTAGGTTGAAGAAAATATTGTTGGCGCCCATTAGAATTCTAGCCAAGGCTAGAGATTTTTACGTGAAAAGCATGGAGGATTCCGCAGCTCGGGTAGTTTATGGTGGCGTTATGGGATTGCCTACTGCGCAAGTAACAAGTTTGCCGAGGAGTTTCACCATGAATTCTTCACATGGAATTTGCGATGATGATCGAAAATTTAAAGAACTTGTTCGTCACGTAATGCCTAAACGCAATTTAGAGAGTCGTACAATTCATGATTATGAGAAAAGTACGAAGAACTCTAGAGATATGAAAAGGAGTTACAGTGTTGGATTGGGGAAGATCGGAACCATTGAAGAAGACAAGCCTTGTTCTTTCAGAGAAGAAGAAGATTGCGGTACACTCAACTCAGGTTTGTTACATCAAAGAAGTAGAAGCTATGCAGCTAGAAAAAACAGTACTCTTCATTATAAAAATTAATGGGGTATATACATATAATTTATATATATATATATATAGTCCGGGTTTCATATATGATTAATAAGTACAAAGAGTCAACTGTAGTTAGGGATTTCATTTCATATATATACGCATATAATCAATGGTCGAATATCAAAAAGCGGATTGCGTTGTAGCCTCAAATCATGTTTTTCTTCACCATAAATGTATCTCTAGATTTGCATAGATGTGTATATGTGTGTTAGTATTATAATTTCTTTTATTTGATGATGATCCTATATAATGAAAATTGTTAAGTATACTCATTTATATGTGTGATTGTGTATGCATATATACATATATATATATATATATATAAGGAACGAATTTTCACTATCATTTGTCTCTTTCATTTTCGTATTTCTTATCATCATTATTATTTTTTGACTACAAGATATAAGAGGACCAAAAAAACTAATAATGGCTAACAATTTCCACGCATGGCAACATGTGATAGACGCAAGAGGCCGAATTATTTGTAAAAATATTACATTTCTTATAAATATGATAGATTTATATCTCTCTATCAATATTAATCAACTATTTAATCGAAACAATAACATTAAGATAAAACCGAACATGACCCTCTCAAATTCGGGTGAGTTATAAGAGATGGAGAGAGTTGACCTCAAATATCAAATGCTTGATATCCTCGTTGTAAACTAGTTTACATCCTAGTTCTCGACAATCAATGAATTCGTAACATCCATATTACACATAAGATTGATCATAATTATCGCGGATGAAACTTCCAATAGTCACCTTGATTTTTAGGTTATAGACTAAACGATTAGTATTAGGTTTGAACAAATGGTAGTTAATAATTGTCAATGCCCACATTTAGCCACCCATTTTAGCTGGTAATACAAGCTGCTTCTGGCTTCAAAGTCGGACAGTAACAGACAATAAGACAAAGATGCCTGCTTGCATATGTATGCATATAGTTGTTAAGTTTAATATATACATATATATATATACACACACACATGCACATATAACGATAATTTATCTGACGTCAGATGTAATTTGATACTATATATATATAGTTTTTATGTTTTGGAATTCTTTTAAACATGTGTTATATTTAATTGAAAACTAAAACAAGTATACATGAATGTACAAAAAGCGATAATGAATAAATCTCTATAAAGAAAATAAAAAATTATTAACGTCAAACCAAAAAAAAAAAAAAAAGGTTCGATAATTTGTATATAAAAATATTTTATTGATATTAAAATTATGACATTATACAACAAGGAATATTGTATAGCTGCTTTAATTTAAAGCTATGTATCTGCCCTTTTAAGTTAAAACATTATAATAAGTATATACACACACGTGTGTATCCGTGCGTGTGTATATGTATGTTTTTGGAATTTGTATGACTATTTAATAAATTATAATATATTAATTCAAATATTATAAATCAATAATTACTTATTCATAATATACTTATAAGAAACCGAGTTTGAATTTAAATGAAGATTATGAACACTACTAATAACTCCAACAACAAAAAATCAGTAGTACAAAATATTTATTTATTTTTCAGACGAAAATCAATTTAATTGTTGAAACCTAAACAGAACTGATGAATTAATTTATAAATTTACTGAAAAAAATATTATGAATAGAATACCACTGCAACTGTAAGTAAATTTACAAATAGTACTGGTAACGGAGACGGCATCTTATTAGATTATTGAAAAGTATAAAGAAACTGAACAAGGCAGTGAAGACCGGAGAAATTAAGCCTTGTTCGGTTGTTAGCCAACCCGAAACGGTTACATTTTGAAGAACACAGAATCGGCAGGCACATAAACAAACAGTCCCTTCTACTTATCTACACCACCTAAAATCAATAGTCAAAGTGGAAATGTTTCTTTTCCTCCTTCCTCTTTAATTCATTTTTGATTAGTCAGATATAAAGCAAAAAAAAAAAAAAAAAAAAAAAGCAAAGGAAGCGGACAATTAAGAACCTGTAGAAAAGATCACGAAATGCTTCGTTTTCCGGGATGATCAGCAACCTTTAACGTCTTATCGATGAGCTTCCTGGCTTTTCTGCTTCGGATCTCCACCTTCACACTCGAGCTCTTATCCATTTTGATGTACGGTTTCTTCGTCTTCTTCAGAGCTCTCACCTTCGATTTGATTGACTCCACCAAGCTCTCCAGTTGGCTTCCCATCTCCGACCAATCCTCTTCTCAATCGCCGAAACTGAACCGGAGACGATCAAAATTGTTCGTTCGATCGTTTTTTTCCACTACGAATCTCGCTTGTGGAGTCTCCAGTCGGCAGTCGCTCTGATTTTCTTTCTCCCTACGTGCTCCATACAGATGACACCGAATCGTTTTTTTTATTGATATCGGACGAAGAGTCCGGACATCAGTTTCCCTATAATTACGAATTTGCCACCGGGTGCGCTTCTCTGACTTTTTATTCATTACAAAGTTTGATTCTGTGTGATTGACGTACAGTACACCTTACATCATACACCGTCGGATCGACATTGGCCAAACGGTAGAGATTAAATTGAAGCAGTTAGTTATTAATTTTAATTGTACTGACTTATCCGATAGATTTAATGAGCTGTGTTGACTCTCTATAAATAGAATTAATATATTTAATATTTTAATTAAAAAATATTCATTTGTAGGACTGTTTATTTTTTTAATTACTTAAATTAAATAAATAATACTATTAAATTTCAATTATATTAAATGAAAATAGACTGAGATAAATATTAAAAATAAAACTGTATTTCAGTCGTAAATTAATATTTTTTTTAACAAGTAAATATATTTCTCACATTAAAATTAAATATTTATAATATATATATATATATATATAGAGTTCGGTGTTTGTCAGTCTTTTGAGTGTGATGTTGACATATGTGAAGGAGATGACGTGGGCATTGAAGGAAAAGTAATAAGGGCATTTTGTAAATACAACTTCAATAAAACATATTCTAAGTTGCTACCTAAAACAGTCCAGGCTCTAAATGGGTGTGGCCAACAATTTTCTTCTCCATGAAAAGTGTGTGTATACCTATCAGTTTTCCCTGTTCATATATATATATATATATGTGGCTATTAGATTTAGAACTTCTACAATAAGCTTTTTTTTTTGTTCTCTTCAAAAATTCAAATTCAGGCTCTTGAATACAGAAATAAAAGTACTAATCATTCACCTGTGTCCTACAGAAACATTTTAAGCTCTCCTTTGTGTTCTATAGAACTATATATATATATGTGCGTGATTTGAACAAGAATTTCTCTTCCCAATAGCAAGTTTTGGATTTGGGAACAAACCCGTTTTTTTTGGTTTAACAATAACATGAACACAAACTAAGATCCGAAGATGGTCGATGTGGGAACAGAATCCGAATTTGAAGAAATCCTAAAAGGAACATGTAGAAGGTAAATGTGAAAGACCAGCAGGCTTCATCTAACTAACTTTGAGAAAATACCTAATTTTACATCATTCATGAGTCATAAACAGCAGGTAGTCAAAAGTTTGCAATATAAGCTGAAGTGCCGAAAGACTTGGGGGATCTCTAAAAGTCAATCCACGTCGTATTCAGAATAATAAATTAAACAAGAAATGAATCGTCTGGGTTTTCTATTTCAATTGTAATATAAGACTTGTATGATTAATCTACAAGGGAGGAACTCACCTCCACCGGGTGTCTCATTTCTATTTTTAGCCGCGGAGAGAGTAGAGAGTTCAGAGAAAGCAACCTATTCAAACAACAACACGTGCAAGAATAGATTTAGTATATAATCAAAACTCATGGTAGTCATGACAGATGTAGAAATGTTATGAAAAAAAATATATATATATATATATAAATATATCTGCCTCCATAGTTTTGTTTTATTTTGCAAGTCAACAATTGAAGTTTTTTTTCGACAATTCAGTACTTGTAATTCGATTTTTTATCACTTCATGTAAAATTAGTAAGATTATTGTTGTTGTTTTTTTTTTTTTCTCAGAGATTCAGATAAATCGAGATGCTTTTTAAAGAAGCTAATAGTTTTATGTGAAATGACAAAAGAAAGCCTACAAGATACTCCATTGTCAAAGAAAAAGAGAAATTGAATTGCAATAAGATTAAATCACAAACAGTGAAATGCTTTTTACCAAAATATCAACAAGACGAAAATTAAATCCAAGACTGAATGTTTCAAAAAATGCACAAAAGTTAAACATATACTATGGGAAGTAAATGTTAAAGCTATGGAAGAAGCAAAACATTCACGTACCAAACTACCCATCTCCCCTCGGCCAAATAGGCCCTCAGAGAAGTACCAATCATTTCCTTTTCAGATGGTCAAAAGGGCATGAATGAGATGCAAAAGAACTCAGCACTTGATCAAATTCCCATGTTATAGCCAAACATTGGACTAAGAGAAAAGTTCAAAATTTTATAAATTGGCCCTTGCTTATATTTAATAGTAAATTTCAAAAACCAACCAAATAAATATTCTAAGTCACCTATTTAACTAATGCTAAGACCACCGAGACTGAGATGAAGAGATTGACTAGGATATATGATGGAAAACTTACCTGTGGTTCTCAAGGACTGGTTTGCCGAGAGTCAGACCATAGCATTAGGGTTGCCAAAAGAGCCATCGTTGCAGTTTCGACACGCAAGCGATGTGGCCCCAGACCAACAGGGGTAGCACCTGCTTCTGTCATCATATTCACCTCTTTCTCTGTGAAATCTGCAACATCAAACCCCAATATAAGTTTACACTGGCAACAAACAAGGGGTATAAGGATGATCTAAGACATAGAAAATAAACCATTTAAAGAAATGACAAAAAGGAGAAGAAAGTAAAGAAAATAACGCTAAAATCACCAAAAAATGACAAAAAATATCTGATTAAAGAAAAAATGCCTTGTAAAACAACACAATTGATCAGAATTTGCATGCAACACTTCCGGGATGTAAATTATGCATCCAAAGTACAGAATCTCTGGTATTTAAGTATGAGCAAACCATTTATCAAATGAGAACCTAAGCTTATCCATTAACTGAACTGGGAAAGAAAGAACTCACTCAGAAAGGAAAGTGATAACTACCTTGAATGGGATTATATAAACTTCATGATAATCAAAAGAAAAATAGATTGAATTTAAATCCTTTGAAACAGTGATGCTTAACATGCATCCAAAGATTTGGACAAATCTAAATTCATTGTATCAAGTAAATGTAAGATTCTACTTAATAGATATGCCTATTCATCCCTGTACATGCAGCAAATGTAATTGGAGAGAGACGGTGACTACAGTATGAAGTAATTACCCCCTTCAGGTCCAACAATTATCAGCCCACCAGATTTCCTTCTTGACGAAGTCAATGCACTAACAACAGGAGTACCTTCTGCTATTGCAACAAAA